AAACTAAACTTAAAACTAAACTTAACTTAACGTTAGTTAGTTAGTTTAGTTTAGTTTAGTTAGTTTAGTTATTATATATATATTTTTTTTAATATTTTTTCATAGATTCACTATTTTTTATGAACATATGATCCACATTTTATATCATTTCGATTTATAGAAAAAAATAAAAAATAAAATACTATTAAATGATCGTGACCGTATTATGAAATTTGGATAATGATAAGATTTGACAAAATCAGTTATCATTTTCGCCTAGCTTTGTGTTGTATCTGCCAAAATATATATATATATATGTAATTTATTTTAACAAAATTTTCCTCAGATATATTTCATTCATGAAAAATGTAGCTAAGGATTTATACGCACCTCATCTTCCTCCCTCTAATCTTCGAAGAGCAAACTCTCACTCTCAGACCTCTAAAACTCTCACTCTCATACCTCTATCTCTCTCTTCATCCAAGAGCTATGCTTGGAATCACCCCAACAGTCCTATGCAACCCCAATATTTCAAAAATCCCCGTGCTCTGTCCATCAACCAGGCTCATTTATTCACACCCCAACACCCAATTCAGAGAAATTAGGGCGAGTTTGAGCAGTTCAGATTCTTCTACCGTCGAGCAAAGTAAAGAAGGAGAGACGCACTTCGACACCAAGCCTGTTATCTCCTCACCTGTTCCTGCAAATGACGAAGAGTTAACAAAGGTAATTGCTTGATATGCTTTTTAAAATGTTATTTTATTGTGGAATATGGGTTGGCACTTCTATTATTTGTTATTTTTTTTAATTTTTTTGATGTTATTTGATTTTGAGTGTGGCCATATCTTGCATTAAAATGCTGTAAACTTATGAATTTGCAGGAATTGGGGGTTTCAATGATCACAGGAAATGAAGAAAGAGAGGGGCGTTTTGAAAACAGGCCTCCACCTTCGTCTATTTCTCCCAAAATCGAGAATGACATAAAAAAGGTCTTCATTGATTCATGAACATTTGGCATTGATTACGGTTTGGAGAGTTTGGGTCTGTTGGGTGTTGTGAAAATTTATAAGCATTGCCTAAATTCATATTGTGTAGGTTTTATTGATGATTTGCCAACTGATCAATCAATTAGTGTGATATTCTTTAGTTGTTTAAGGATTTGATTTTTGGGCTCAAAAAGAAAAGTCTTATTTGAAAAATCTCATTGTTGAATTCACCAAATGTTCACACTCTCTTGAGTTTGTATGGATTTTCTTGACTATGCGGAAGGATTGGATCAAAGAAATTGTAAAGAATAATAGCAAAAATTCCATTTGTTTTTTTTGTGATGGACAGTCATTATTATGGTTAAGAATAAGTTAGATCATGTTGTGGGGAGAATGAAAGGAGTGTCGCTATAGAAATGATTTTCCTGATTGGTATGTGGAAACATATCCTTCTCCTGATATTTCAGGAACTGATTGATATAACTATCTAAAAAGTACGTCGTATTGTTAGTGTTTTAAACATCAGGCTTGCCTTGGGACTCGGCTGCTACCCAGGAGGAGTTGGCTCGGCAAGTTCCCCGTAGACATGTTGAGTTTCATTTTAGATAATTGTACTTTCTGAAGAATATTCACTGGTTTTTCTGAAGATCTCAGGCCAGACTCGGGCAGACTTGGATCAGACTCAGATGATCCGACTTGGGCTTATATGGAACTGGTGGGGTGCTGGTTCTGAGTAACTCGGGTGGGTCCAAATTGGACTCCCTGAGTTTGTAAACACTGACTTCTACAATTATCAATGTTGTAATCAGCATTATGTCATGTTCTCATTATCATGGTTAGGCAAAATGTGACTGGTAAAAGGTTGAAGGTTAAACTTGGGGCATTCAAATCCAGTCCTAGAGATGTTGAATTTCTAAGTCATCTTGATGGTAGCACCCATTGAATTTTTATGAGCATCTATTAACCCTGGGTCCAAAATCACTTTCCGTCTTATGAAATATTGGGCTATAGATTTTGAAGTTTATAATAATCCATTTTTTAAAAATTAAGGAAATCAAACCACCTCTAGGAAATCAGATGAGCATCTAATTCTGAAAAATCTATGGCATTTGTTGGTTCCAGGAATTATCTATGGTGGACTACCACTCTTTTACCTTGCTTAAATTTTTGAAATTTTACTCTATTGAAATGATTTTTATATGTTCAGCAAATATTAGACTAAATTTAGATTTCTTACGCAGGTTGTTCAAAAAACTGCTTCAACCTTTGCCCCAAGGGCTTCCACTGCCACCAAGAACCCTGCATTACCAGGGACCACATTATACACTGTTTTTGAAGTTCAGGGATATGCTTCAATGTTGTTGGGTGGTGCTCTTTCCTTCAATCTTTTATTTCCATCTAATGAACCAGACATTTGGAGACTTATGGGGATGTGGTCTATATGGATGTTTAGTGAGTGAATGTCCTTTCTCCTCTCTGAATTTCAGTTAAATTGCTTATCCTATCATTTTTAGCTATTGTGCCAGTGTCTGCACTTGCATGTGCATGAGTGTGTGTGTCTGCGTGGTTTTCATTTCCTCAGGCTTATATTTTCATCCAATGAATCTGATATTCGGAGACCTATGGGGATGCGGCCCATATGGATGTTAAGTGAGTAGGATTTTTTGACTCCCCTTTTAGTTACACTGAATATTGTCAACTCGAGCTTTGTCTAACAATGAGAGACCTGGTTTTCTGGAGAGATGTCAGGGGTTGCACCTCCCTTTGTGCAAATCAAGATGATCTACTCCGTAAAAGAACTCCAGTGCTTGCTTATTTTCTATTTACCGCATAGTCTCTGTCTTTGCCACTTGTGTTCATGTTCAAGAGCGTGGGGCCCTTAAGTAAACCACAAGGTTGAAGTCCCATTACATGTACTGTTGAAGGAGGTGCAGTATGATTTGGTTTTTATACCACTAGTCACTATCTTGTTTAATCGGATGTCACTCATTATGGCTGTCACAATGATTTTCTAAGAAAGAAAGTGTGCGGGCTATTTTATGCTGCTTAGAGGAAGCATGTAACAATCAGTGATTGTGGTATCGAGATCAGTTACAAAGTAAATTTGGCTCTGTTTTCTTTTGTAACATTCTGGATTTATCAAAATGAGGGGGAAAGAAGAAATGATTTATTTTTTAATTATTAGAGCTTTGTGACTGGCCCATAAGGGTGCATGTTTTAGGAGTTTCTATAGTCCCAATTATTGGGAAAATTTTAGTTTCTCTCAAATATGTTAAATTTTCCATATTAAAGGGGTCATGGGATTTTGATAACTTTTATTTAATCTGATTTGCTCCTTAATTTGCTGTGAAGCTTCATTGTTTTTCTTTTTCGATCTGTTTTTCCTTTTGCTTCTTCATCTGTGATAATTCCTTGTAGGTATTCAATCAGTGATTGTGGTATCGAGATCAGTTACAAAGTAAATTTGGCTTTGTTTTCTTTTTTAACATTCTGGATTTATCAAAATGAGGGGGACAGAAGACATGATGTATTTTTTAATTATTAGAGCTTTGTGACTGGCCCATAAGGGTGCATGTTTTAGGTGTTTCTATAGTCCCAATTATTGGGAAACTTTTAGTTTCTGACAAATATGCTTAATTTTCCATATTAACGGGGTCATGGAATTTTGATAACTTTGATTTAATCTGATTTGCTCCTTAATTTGCTGCGAAGGTTCATTGCTTTCCTTTTTCGATCTGTTTTTCATTTTGCTTCTTCATCTGTGGTAATTCCTTGTTGGTATTCGCAGCAATTCCTTCCCTGCGAGCACGTGACTGTTCCAAGAATGAGAAGGAAGCTCTAAACTATCTGTTTCTTCTAGTCCCATTACTAAATGTTTTGCTTCCCTTTTTTTGGAAATCCTTTTCAGTCGTGTGGTCAGCTGATGCCATTGCCTTCTTTGCAATGTATACATGGAAGGTACACCACTTTATCCTCTCTGTTACACATGTCTTACTCATTCATAGTCTCAACCATACATGTAGTTATTGTGTGTTTTTGGGTGTGTGTAAGAGAGAGACAGACACAGTCGGAAGTATTTGGGACAAGTGTAGGAGATAAAAATTCTTCCGCTGAAAAATAAGTACGGACATTGGCAAAGGTGAGATAGAAGAGCTATTGGACTTCCTAACTTAAAGGAAAGCTTAGAAGACAATAAGATGGTGTTATTCCGACACAGAGCGAGAGAGATATTTGCATGTCTGGGTGGGGGAAGCGGTGGTGGTTGTATATTTGGATGGATACGGAATATATATAGATCTGCAAGTCATTATGCATAGGGAGCATATTTGCCATGTTATATCCAAATAGGTACTTCCAAACTTCCAATTTTTCAAAACTTGCGAGCATATACCTGGATGAACACACATTAGTAGGCCCATGTCATGTTTTGATGCCATAAGTGACGGTATAGGATACTAACGCATGAAAGCTTACATGCATTCGTTGTGCTTGTCTGTATACACCAATGTTTAGAAAGTTGGTGTCGGGCTCTCTCTTTCCAGGTTCCCAAGCCTAAGTCCCACCAGTCTGACTTGGGTGAGTCTGAGTCGGACTAGAGAATTTTTAATAAAAATAAATTTGAAATCTGAAAAACTAGGAGACGCAGGTGATTCCGGGGTTTTTTGTCGTGAAATTGCCTATTTTCCCATTCAGTCCAACTGGGGCGAGTCTTGAGTTTTTTGGCCAATTTCCCCATTCAGTCCAACTGGGGCGAGTCTTGAGTTAAAACGATGTTTTAAACAATAGCAAACACAATATCTATATGTGCATATGAAACGTGATTTATGAATTGACTACTTGCAGCTTGGGTGGCTTCAGAAGAAAGAGTAAAATGTATTCAAACCACTGACTACAGTGTGTCGTGTACCAAAAGAGAAAATGAAGTGCTCTTGTCCCCAAGAGACAAGGTGAAATTGCATTGCAAATCCTTGAATGTTGGACCATATTGCAGTTCCTTTGTCAGAGAGAGATCTCTGCTATCCCTATGTAAATTGTAAAATGCAGTTAAGACAGAGAGAGGAGCAGATTTCCCGGTCTAAATGTATTTTATATTTCACATCTGTTGTATATGGCTTGTATTTACGTTTGGAGATTGAATATTTTTGAGTTAAAATTGAATTGGATGATCCGTAGATTTATCTCTATGGATTGCACTTTGCTGCACAAATACGTGAAATATCAGTGACCGACCATGATCATTTTATTTTAGTTTATCATAAAATCATATACCTGGAAGTTCTTATTGTAACACTTTACACCTGCTGCTTGTTTGGCTGTTCCACGGTGTTTGTATCGATCTCCGTTTCGAGTTCGTAAAAAAAGCGGCCCTTTTTACATATAGGATTAAAATATGTATATGTATTCTTTGACATAAGGTTTTTAGTGGGAATCAGGACCCTTCAGAACATGATGCCTTCGACACTTTAAAAACTTAAACACCTCTTTTATTTTTTTTAGAGATGTTATCATAAAAATATTTAATTTTTACCTAAAATCCCGTAGGCCTTTTATGGGCACTTGAGCGTAGTCGTTGGGGATTAGGAATTGATTGGTATTTTTTTAGGTGATTCCAACCATCACATAACAGGGCATACCACTTTCTCAGGATATACCCAAGAGATCAATTATTTTACAATTTACTTAGGGAGAGGTATTTACTTTTGGTACAAGGAGGTTATATTCACTTTTGTCCATCACATTTTCAAACTTTTGGTACAAAGAGGTTATATTCATTCTTGTCCATCATATTTTCAATCTGGTGGTCACATTTTCAAACTTTTGGTACAAAGAGATTATATTCACTCTTGTCCATCATATTTTCAATCGGGTGGTTGTGAGAGTGTCATTGATTAGACTTAGACTTCGATTTCAAAAAAATTCTCAAACTTTGTGGTATAAACCAAACCATCCAATTTGATTTTTAAAATTCTAATGGCTATGAGTAAATAAAGGCCTGATAGTGTACAATCTTTTTACTTATTTCTTTTTAGATTATTTATACAATCTTTTTAGATTATTTTAAAAAAAGGGTGACGCTTATATAGTTTCCAGCTTAATCAAGCAAAGTAAGAAGCACTTTCAGATTCACTCGGAAGATTTTGGTGTTGGAAACCTTACCATGTCCTGAAAATCGATTTTTACACCTAATTTTAAAATTTAAAGTTCAAAAAATGGTGTCGATCAAGTAGGTCTATAAACACTTATTTTGTTTGAAAATATACGGCTCAAAATTATAGGTTAGAAGATGAACCATATTTAGGACTTAAAATCTTTTTTTTTTTTATATCCATGCATCTCGAAGATCAAATTTTCAATTTTCTTTTTTATATCCATACATCTCGATGATCATTTTTTTTTTTTATATCCATACGTCTCGATGATCAATTGAGAGAGGGGTCGCTCCACAGGTGACAGGGTAGAAGTACCACAGGTGACAGGGTAGAAGTACCACAGGCTCCACTGGCTCCCGGGGAAGTATGACAAGGAGGGAAGTATGACAGGTGAATGGGGGAGAAGAAGTATGGCAGGGAGAAGGGTCTCTCGGAGAAGTATGATAGGGGAGAGGGGAGTATGACAGGTGAATGGGGGAGAAGCATGACAGGGAAGAGGGTCGCTCCAGAGGGTAGAAGTATCACAGGCTCCACCAGCTCTCGGGGAAGCATGACAGGTGAATGGGGGAGAAGAAGTATGACAGGAACCGGTGGAAGTATGACAGGTGAATGGGGGAGAAGAAGTATGACAAGGAAGAGGGGTCTCCCGGGGAAGCATGACATGTGAATGGGGGAGAAGAAGTATGACAGGGAACCGGTGGGAGTATGACAGGTGAATGGGGGAGAAGAAGTATGACAGGGAAGAAGGGTCTCCCGGGGAAGCATGACAGGTGAATGGGGGAGAAGAAGTATGATAGGGAACCGCTGGGAGTATGACAGGTGAATGGGGGAGAAGAAATATGACAGGTGAATAGGGGATAAAAAGTATGACAGGGAAGAGAGTGGCTCCACGGGAGACAAGTCGCTCCACAGGGGAGAAGTATTACAGGCTCATAGGGCTCTATGACATGGGATATGATAGGTTATGATAGGTCCAAGGCAGAGAAGAGGGGTTCTCGGTATGATAGGTTATGACACCTTCAAGAGGTAGTATGATAGGTCTCGGTATGATAAGTTAGGTTGTCATAGTTCACGGGATATGATAGGTCTCGGTATGATAGGTTAGGTTGTCATAGTTCACGGGATATGATAGGTCTCGCTATGATCGGTTATGACACATTGAAGGGGTAGTATGATAGGTTATGACAGGTTCAAGGGATAGGTTGTTATAGTTCACGGGATATGATAGGTTATGATAGGTTCAAGGGGTAGTTCATGGATATGATAGGTTATGGCAGGTTCAAAGGGGAGAAGACGGGTCGCTCGACAGGGTTATGCACGAGGTATGATAGGTACAAGGTCCAAAGGGGAGAAGAGGGTATATGATAGGTTATGACAGGTTCAAGGGGTTCACAGGTTCAAGGGGTAGTTAATGGGTATAATAGGTCATGACAGGTTCTAGGCGGAGAAGAGGGCTCGCTTGACAGGTTTATGCAGAGAAGAGGGGTCGCTCTAGAGCTTTAAGGTATGACAGGTTCAAAGGGGAAAAGAGGGGTAGCTCTACAGGTTCAGCCTGTGACAAGTTCAAAGGGAGAAGGGTCGCTATACAGGTTTAGGGCTCAAGGTCCAAAAGGAAGAAGAGGGTCACTCTACAGCTTTAGGGTAGAGAAGAGGGGTCGCTCTAGAGCTTTAGGGTATGACAGGTTCAAAGGGGAAAAGAGGAGTAGCTCTACAGGTTCAGGTGCGACAAGTTCTAAGGGAGAAGAAGGCCGCTATACAGATTCAGGGGTCAAGGTCCAAAGGGAAGAAGAGGGTCGCTCTATACCTTTAGGATATGACAGTTCAAAGAGGAGAAGTGTTGGTATGTGTGTGTTCATGGGGCCTATTTAATGCTTATCTTAGAGAGAGAAAGTATCGTTATTTAACGGTTAGAAAGTAACCATGGATTACAGGGCCACGTTTTTTGAGAGATTTCAGGAGGAATCCGAACGTTGGAGACCGATTTCTTTCATCCCTCTTTAAGAAGGGTTTCATGGCCATGGAGAAGTCCACAAAAATTTACAGAGTTCTCACAGTTTTGGTAAAAGCTCTAGAGACATTGTCCTTAATCTTCCCTCAAGTTTTTAATAGTTTGAATTTATTTATTCTTTTGTAAATTTCTCTCTTAATTTATTGCTCCTCATTTGTAATTCAGTGTTTGTTTTTACTGGTGTTGTTGGTTTTGGAATATTTTCTCTCCATAAATTCTTTTGCCATATTTTCTCTCTCTAGATTGCGTTTGGCGTACGTGATCATAGCGTAATCAGATGAGTCCTATGTTTAATCTTTTGTAGAGAAAAGTTAAAGAGATAGAGACACTAGAAGAATCATCAAAAGAATAGGAAGGGAGAGAAAATAAGGTTAAGGTTGTTGCAGAAGAGTTATCTTAACTTAGCATATGCCTTAATATTAAGTTCTCTCTCTACGCCTCAATATTAGGCTCTCTGTCTACGCCTCAATATTAGGCTCTCTCTCTAGAGTAAGAACAAGTTGTGTAGTTATTTTTCTCTCAAATCAAGTTGCTGATGCAATACATACTTGAGCTCACGGTCAACTAACAGAAAATAAGACAAATAATTCTTCTCTCCATACAAGGTAGCTGAGCATCTGCGGCTGGCATCTTCTTTCTTCCATCTTTTTGTTGCTGAAAATTAGTGCATATTATTATTATTATTATTGAATCTTATTATGTACACTCCAATTCTATTGGAGTAAAGGTTTACATGCATATATGGAGTAAAGGTTTACATATCAATTGCATATATATATATATATATATTTATTTA